ACTGACCTATGGAAGCAAGGCTTAACAGAAATCATTTTAATATTTTATTGTTTTAATTTCATTAAAACAAGTATATTATTATGTACTTGCATTAGTAGCTTTTGTTTGTATGCAGAACGTTTTTCTTATCGCGGTGATTCAACTAGAACGTGAAAGAGGAAATTTGTGACCGAATAATAGAAGAGATGGAGGTCGCAGCTTCTACATCATATTGAAACAAGAAGAGGAACAAATTTTATGGAAGGAGATCCTCGTATAAGACCAAGGTATTTGAAAACATAGCATAAATGTCTAGGAACTTGTAAATACATTGGGTCGCTTGATTAGACCATTCATATTAACAAACCGAATTTTTTAGCATCTCGAGTTTTTATTTCGAAATTATGAGCCTGCACTTTTTAAAGATATACCCTTAACTTTTCGACAACGAATGTTGTTGCACGATGATTCATTTTTGATCAAATGTTTGAGATTACTCAAATGAAGACCATATGGTCTACTTAGCACTGTAAAGATACTGAAATTTGGAAAGATACATTTTGAGAAATTACAATCTCTCACGTTATGCTCAAAAGTTGACACTACTGTTTTATCAGCCAAAAGACCGTGGCAAAAACCGTGATACCGTTTTTTATTTCTGTCAGACACATGCTTCCAAGTTTGAAAAAGCTACGACATTTGATTGTTTCTATCACAGTGAGATGTATATTCAGTTTCCCGTGCTCTGATGTAGTTTCAGCAGGAGACGCAAGTACTAAAATCTACACCCCCGGCCCACTATTCGCGGCTTTGCCGCTATTTGATTAATGGCAACACCAGCTATTAACTTTGGCTCCTTTGTTGTACGGCGTACGATCCAACAAAGGGGCATCAATCATTCGAATTGGAATAAGCTGTATTGTTTAAAGGGTATACTCGTACGTAAAGCATTGCGATTTAGCCTAACAGCTAACGATTCTCCGTGTGAGCCCTCTGTCGGAGATGCTGTGCTAGAGACAGGGTTCGCTTATTACAATATTTGTCTTCCAAGTCATGATTTATTACTCGTGTCTATTGCTAGTAAATATCTTAGGAACTGGGTGTCAGAGATTTTGGATTGAAGCAGACCCTTGCTGGCCAAGGTCACGACATCTCGAACACATTTTCTTAGTGTACAACAATAAGAAAGTTATGCCAGCATTGTGTTGCGTGGTTAAACAAGCCTACGCATTTCTAATTTGGAAATGACTGCGTAAAAATCAAAGATAATATATTTAACACTCAGTATAATAATACAGTAACAATAATAGTAATAAGCAACATGCAGATATCTGTAATACTGACTACATTGCCAAATTAACAATTTTAATTTTAGATCGTACACGGAATATAACTGCAAGTGGTCAAAGTCGACGTTCGATCGCGTCTCTAGCGGGAACATTTCGAAACCTGGGCGATCTTCGGAACTATGTCGACCCTCGGGAATCTCGCGCTGCCCTCAATTTTTCTTCGCTTCTTACACGACAAGCCTTAGACCTACGCCTAATCTACCAAATATTTGCGAATTTTTGATTTTATTGCAGTTTCGGGTGCTTTGTAATTATTAGTCAAAAGTATAGTTCTCCCAGTGTACCACGATCGACTGCTGCGAATAAATCGCAGCCTCCTGAGAAAGGGACTTCACTGGAGACAGAGACGACTCATTGATCGCTGAGTCTTACCTTGATCACGGCGCATTAAGCCTTTGGGAGACCGAATGCCGGCTGCTGTCACTTATACTAATGAACTCATTAATGCCAGCCAAAGTGTGCGGATAACTCAATGTCAAGCACAAACTCATATACACGAAACGACGTGTAAGAACGAGCAGGGAGAAGAGTATGCCAGGCGTGTTTATATAGCCCTAGGACGTGACATGTAAAGTCATAAATAAGGCAGAAGGGTTCGAGTTTAATTACTTGTACTACGCTCTCCAGAATTTTGATTGAAATTTGAAGTATCTAATCGTCCGGTAGTTCCTATTCATATGCTGAACTGATTATTATTATGTAAGTTTCATTAAAATATTTGTGTTTCCGGCAGAAGACGACTAGACGCTTCCACTGACGAAGGACTATACACTTCCAATTTTAATGTACATCTAATCAGCAAAATAGCCGATTACACAGCCCCACAAAATAAATAAAGTGGGAGGTTCGAAAGACGAGACCATGGTAGCTGTATGTTTTTGGAATCGCTGGGGTTTGACCCGATTAGCTCTGGTTGAAGGTCAGTTCAAGGTTAAATGTAGAGAGAGAATCAAGTGCCAACCAAGTGAACCTACATATCTCTAGATATTTTTAAGGTCAGTGAATACGAATCCGGTGTTCGTTTGACTCGATCTGGTCTGGGTTAAGGTCTATTCAAGGTCAAAGAGAGGGAATCAATTGCCAGCAATGTAAACCAATGTATCTGTAACGTTTTCTGGATCACTGAATCCGAATTCGGAGTCCATTTGACCTGATTAGATCTGGTAGAAGGTCAGTTCAAGGTCAAATGCATAAAATCAATTGCCAACAAAGTAAACCCATATATCTGTATGTTTTTGGGGTTGCTCAATACGAATATGGTGTCCGTTTGACCCAATCAGATCTGAGTTAAGGTCAGTTCAAGGTCAAACGTAGGGAATCAATTGCCAATAATGTAAATTAATATATCTATACGTTTTTGGGGTCGCAGAATCCAAATGGGGGGACTGTTTGACCTGATTAGGTCTGCTAAATACTCTCAAGTTCTAAACTCAAAACACTCAAGTTAGGCATTTATGCGTATTAAAATTTGAGTAATAAATAAGAATAGATAAAGAAAGAAAACAGTATCTCAAAATAGATTATTTGAATCTATTCTACTTAAATACCAAAATGAGTAGATAGTCTACTTCAGTGACGGAAATATGCATTGAAATCTCTATGGAAAAATATTCAAGATGTAAGTAGAATATATTCAAAAGTGATAGAAGGCTCTCCTTCTTCAACATCTATACTCGAAAATCCATAGAAGAATAATTATTCCTTCACAACGATAGCTTCAGTTATAGTTTTAAGAGCTTATTAAGCCTCCATATCTGGAATAAACTTAATGCACTGTAATATTGGGAACCTTAATTTGCAATTTTCTGAAAAAAACAAATTATAAAGATTAGTTTGAGATGAAAAAGTATTTTTAGAAAATTTAAGTAAATTTTCATAAATTACAATTTATATTAATAAGTTTTGGAACTAGAACATAATGCTTGAAAAATTAGTTTTTGTGTTAGTTAAATAATATTTAAAGCATTGAAATATTATTAGTTTTAGCCTAAAATCAGTTTTAAATAACTAAAATAAATTTACTCACAAAAACATTATCATTCTTATTTTTTTGGTATAAGTTTCAAGATTGATCTTTTAACGTAAAAAATTTAATTAATTCGGAGAAACATTATTCTTTGTGTAAAAGCGCTGGCACAACGTAAGTCAGTGCAAATACAATGAAAATGGATAGCACTTAATTTTTTAGAAAGACCTAGTGAACGGTGAATTAAAGCTTGCGTCTGATGTAGCAGGCGGCATTGTTTGCCTTTTACTTTTTTTTTAATAATTATCCTCGTTCTTTAGACATAATTCAATAAAACTAAAGTGTACCAGAGATACGGTTTTTCTTTTAATTTGGGTAATAGCTGGAAATCTGGATTGTATTGTAAAATAGCAGACTTGTTTTTCTTTATTGAATTACAAATATTACTTGAAAGAGATTTGATTTGTGTAACTACGGATATATTTCACCACTACCGAAAATTGCGAACATCAAAACAAGTTACCAGAGTATGCTCTGAAAACCTAGCGTTAGAAACATTCACAAAACAAATTGAAAATATTTCAATTATACATTTCCTTTAACGGTTTAAAGTCACATCAGTAACTACTGTTAAAAAAAATTATACAGTATCATGTTTTATACAAGAATGGCTTTGGAGTGTTATTTTAACAAATAATTCATATACTTACAAGTTTAAGAAGTCCAAGGGTATATAAGATAAGAACTGTGAATAAAAATTTCCCCTGTTGAAATGCAACCAAGCAAAACATTCAAGTATCCAACCCCACTTGCTGCGAATATAATAAACAGAAATTTAACAAACTTCCGGCATATTCAAACCTACGCGTACGAAAATAAACTGAATTGGACATTTTATTTTGCCATTTGGGCATAGAATTCAGATTTATATTAATCTAGGCGTGGAATTACATTTTTTGAAAGCTTCGAATTTCAAATCGGGAATTATGTTTGTTAATTTGGTTCTCTTTTCACTGCTAGTTTCAATTAGTCACAGCAATTTAATCTCAATTTGCTACAGGCAGCAACTAAATGTGCTTTCACGGGTTGGCAGCGTATTCATTAGTTTACAATTAACGGGAGTAAATCCAGTATGGGCTGCTTATTAGTATATCAAAGAGATAAATATCGTTTACTTGCCATAAAAATTCAGTTTGACGTTTTGAAAGATATGTAACTAGATGTTAATTTGGAAGCATCGACGATAGAAGTGTGTATTCTAATGATAACACAGCCCCGCAAGAAAAAAGTATCGGATCTGGTATTCAGACCCATGTATTTCCATTGTAAAAAATAATATTTAATAAATTAAAACTCATTGACTCTACAGATCTAAGTGGACTAACTGTCATTATTTTGACATGTGAGTTCGACCCAAAAAAAAACAAAACAGTACTACACAATGTAAGTTCCAAATTTAAAGGCTTCCTAAATATTGTTGCTTAAATTAAAAGCCAGAACTTGTATAATTCACACAACTTGGCTACGTTGCATTACAGTGTACGATTATCCTGGCACTGAAAAACAGCACAACGCGTGTCAGGAGTAGTGTCAAATAACGTCAGCCAATCCCCTTATACCCTGTGTATATTTTTAAACTCTGTATCCATTTTCATAACAATTTTGCACAAACTGATGCATATTACTCACGGTATCGATTGTTTCAGGTACATAGCAGTGACGCAGCCGATCAAGTATGCCAAGCACAAGAATACGAGGCGGGTTTGGCTGACGATAGCGCTCGTGTGGATGATTTCCGCAGCCATCGGTTCGCCCATCGTACTGGGCCTGAATAATACTCCGGATAGAGTGGCGGACGCGTGTCTGTTTTACAACAGCGACTTCATCATCTACTCCAGTCTTTCCTCCTTCTACATACCATGCATAATCATGGTGTTCCTTTATTACAATATTTTTAAGGTATGTGAATTGAATTAGGACATAAAAATAAGAAACTTTAAATTCGTTCCAATAATATCTATATTTTCCTTCATATTAATTTCGTGAAAACTACTATTAAGTTAAATTCACCATATTATATAAGGAGTCTGCAAATTTTACCGACAATGTTTGACTGCATATTCACAACGAGAAATAAATACGATCTACGAAAAAAAAGTTAAATAAAAACTGTTTGATTTTTGAGTTACAGGCCTTCAAAATTGTCAAAAATAAAACTAATTTAATTAATAACTTCATAACCCTTTTTAACTTTAGTTAAATCGATATACTGGGTGATAGTTTTCTCCCGTTACCTCTCCCTTTTAGCAGTTAAAACATTTACAGTGGTCATATTTTTTTAAAACCGGTAGCAACATTGAAAATGTCGTTTTATATAAAAAAAAATATATTGTCTCTTGAGAAAATCGCCTACAGAAAGCCATTCTTGAGAAAGATGGCGTTATTGGCAGGTCTGTACGTTTCGGTTTGGGTAGCAGTGTCACGGATTCAAAACTTTGAGTTCAGTAGGTGATGAAAACAAGATGTTGATTGCTATGGCTATCTGGTAATGGCATTATTGTCGTGTTTTTTTTAGGATTCTCATCACTCCACACCTGCAAATTATGAAAATTTACAACTTTTGAAATTTAAAACATAAGTTAATAATTAGAATTTGATGATAGGGCCCATTTGGAGACGAACGTATAATCAGCTGTTAGTTAAAATCCAAGGTCATCATATAATTTGTCATTCAAAATTCTATAAATTTTGCTTGAAACATTTTTGTCGAGTTATTAAGACAAAAATGTGGTTGACCTTCAAGTCACCTTGAAAAGGTTGTCTCGTATGGTATGTCTAAGTAGATTTAATTTGCCAAATTAGGATTGTTAACATGTTCTCTCGAAACTCTTTACCAAATATTAATCGGGCATCAGAGTCTAGTGGAGTGATTGGTTGTACAAGGCAGATGTACAGTAGTTGCTTCCTAAGGGTTCCCCAAACAAGTGGCATAGCTACATGAACCACAATCCGCCTAACACTAGTTTTTTTCCAACGTCCTCCAAAACCTATCATGGGTATGGAGAGTCGATAGTTTTTGTTAAATTTTCCATTGTCCCAGAACAACTGATGAAGTCTGAAGAATATGCAGCGGAAGGAACTGGAGTGTTAGGATAAGCCTTAACATACCAACGACGAGCATCAAGTCCATTACCATTGGCACGACCATGCATAAATCGCATGTCTGCTATTATACTTAGGTGTACAATGACTTATTAATATATCATTAAACCAACCTTCCGTACTAATTATAAATTTATTCCAACATAAAATAAAAGTGCTTGTATTCGTATAAAGAAAATCAACATACTTTTTATAAGCAGCATATGATAAAATTGTTAGGTGAGTTGTATCGATAAGAGATGAGAGTACCTTTTCTATGTAGTTTACACTGATCTATTAAAAAATCCTACTATTTTCGCAATTTTTAGCAGCGTAGAAGTATTGCTCAAAAAAAAAAATGATGATACCCTTGAATGTAAGGCCCTGAAACACATGAATATCATTTAACATCTCCATATTCAAATCGTGTAGACTTATTACGTTATACCCTTTATCAAATTTGAATTGATATGGTTAACCGGATTTTTAAGAAACAAAATTGTGTTTTTTTAAGATAATTATAATGCCCTGCTTGTCATAAACGAAACGATTCCGGACATTGTTCACATGAAAATGTTTTCTTTTTATAGTACTCTTTGCTTTTAAGCACACTTTCTTTAACACCACGTAGAAGTAATATACAGAAGTAAATTATAATATACCTAATTAATAAAAAAAATATGTAAAATAGTTAGGAAGAAACTAACTTCTATTCTATTATGTTGCCGTGACTCCATAAGTTTTCATTAAAGTTATGACAATATGACTTTGTGAAAGAGAATTGTCTTTATTTGCTCGAATATATCTCAGCAGTTATGATTTATAACAAAGTTTCAGTGTAATATAAGTTGTTGCTTTGTCTAGATTCTGGATTATTATTTTAATGGGGATATGATTAAAATAAGTTTCCTAAATATTCGGTATTGCGAACTTTATTAATTCCGAAAATATCTCATCGCAAGTTTTAAGAAAACAACAGAAGTGTATAAGTCGTAGTATAGAATGTCTCGAAAATATGTAGGTGTCGTAAGCCATATTTTCTGCACTGGATATCATACAAAAGAAGGTTATGTTCTTAAGAATTTTAAATATATGTAATAATTTTTAGTATTTATCAATTATTTGACCAAAGTAATGAAAAATTGTATTGTTTAAATCAAAGCGTTATGGATATTGAAATGGCTACCAACTTAATATTTAAGAACCTGGCACTGTGGCTAGACAAAAATAAATTTGTTTCAACGCAGATAAAGCCCTGTTATTGCAGTATACATTTAAATAAACATGAGACATACACTAATGAACCTACATCTACCATCATGTTGAGAACTACAGTCTAAAAATGGTTAGCTCTGTATGATCCAACAGATTTACTTAGACCTATTCGTCTTAATATTTAAGAAAAGTCTGTTTTTTTTTACAAATGGATTCACACTGTATACCTTTCCAGGCTTTAAGAGACCGAGCAATGCAGCTGAGGCTCAATCGGAAACCTCTACCCTGCGAGATCAAGCCTGGCTCTGTGATAGAGAATGTGGCCAACACGCGGAGGTTGGCCGAAACGACGTTGGGGCCGGCTACCATAGAGGAGCAGGCCACCAACACGGGTTCGGGTTCCGGGGACGAGGATGACGACGCTGACGCCGAGTGCCACGTCATCTCGAACGACAAGAGCACCGAGTTCATCCTGGCCACCGTGGTGGAAGAGGCTGCGTAAGTATTTAATGTAATTAGTTGTCTATTGTTAGGGCCACATAGAACACTGTGTTCGTTAAAGGGTGATATAGAACGCTACGTTCGATAAAAAGACACACAGAACACTAAGTTAGCTAAAGGACCACTCTATAGGGCCACTCAGAACTCTATGTGTGCTACACAGCGCTACGTTCGATAAAGAACCATACAGAACGATAGAGTCGCAATACCCTTTAAAAGTTTAACGAGAATTAAGACACAATAGCATAGTGTATATCACTTGTCAAATTGCTAAAAGGAACATTTATAGATATAACATAAAAGATAAAGAATTCCAGATTATCTTAGTCGTGCCAATAACACAATAATTGTCAGTTAAAAATCAGTGGATTTGCTGAAATTCTTATTCAACGAATTTTATTAATTTCACCTCATCTAATGTCATCAATTGTAAATATTTTCAGTCATAAATGATGAAATAATCAAGGGTTCTAACAAGCTGAAAGATAAGATGACTTTAGGTGTAGATTACCAAGTTTCATAGTCAAGGATAGCATCAATGTACTCTTGTATCCTTTGCGTTACTTAATCCTATTTTACCAAAAACTCACTCACAAAATTTCAGTATGGTTTTGTTGAAAAAAGGATTACAGTAGCAAAAGATGTACTCTATGTTGACAAACATAAGGCATTTGCTGTATGGTTGTTGATCTGATTATGCTATTACCTCAAGAATGCCAAAGGTTCTAATTTATGACCTCTATCTATATTATATTTATAAACGATTTGTCACTAAAGTTAAACACTACAAATTCAAGTCATCTATTATTTGCTGATGATCTAAAAGTATATGCATAAATGAATAGCATTGATGACTGTTACAAATTAGAGAGAAAGTTATAAAATAGTGCGGTAATATTTCTTTACACCTAAACATATTTAAATAGAGACTGTATTTTATCACAGAACAACACGCCCATCGGTGTTTGAATATGTCATTGGTAATAAAAGTTTAGAAAGTTGTGAGATTTCTATCCCGAATGAGGTGTTGATCAGCAGATTTGCTTTCTGTGGTTGAGCTTGATCGTTTACTATTTATAAGCAATTGTCCTTCATTAAATTCTTTTTTAAAATCATAGCATCATATCGGTTGTCCCAAGTCAATAAAAGAATTTAAATTTTTGGTCCCCAGATAGTGATAGTACACATGGAATCAATATTTTCTCCAGTTTTTAATATATGTAAATTATTTAATTAAATATCTCACTTATGTCATATTAACCATGGCACTATCAATTACATAGTTTCTGAACACAGAGACTTTTGTAATAGCTAACATATCTCAAATTTATAATACGTTGACCTGGGTTTCTTTTTTATATTTTCTCATTATTCTTATATTTGATATTTTTACTTAAACTACTAGTTGATTTTATTTTTATGTAATTTACTGTTCTATCTGTTGAAAATAAAAATATAGCCAATGTTACGACCACAGGGTGCTATTCTGCTATATACAGGGTGATTCAGAACTTATTCGATTTTTTTTATTGTACTCTTACAAATACAATTTTGTAAAAAAAATCAAAAAGGGCTGTTCGAAAATAATTTAAAAATACATTTCTGCACGGTACTGGAAATTGATCCACTGTTACACCTGACCTTGCTCGCAGTCGGCGACCAGCACGGCGGCAAAATGTAATAAAATATGAACGGACAAAAACTTGAAAGAATTTCTTTCCCAAGGAAAGAAATAAATACTATTTTATAACACCTATTTTATGTCAGCAAATTCAACTGCCTTTGCCGCTATTACTATTATTAATTAATAAAATTAATTAGTGGTTATAATTAATAAAATAATTTGACAGACCTGATGTTACAACTGTTTAAAATTTTGTCCACCAATTTGTAAACACATTTGAGCCCGTCTTATCCTGTTTCTACGAACTAACACAAATATTGTCTTGTTTCACCATAACACAAATGTTGTCTTGCTTCACGATATTCATCAATTTCGTGTTGCTATACACGTAAGCCATTTTTGACACTTGAAAAACTAATGTAAACACTATCGCAAAAACGTTAATACCAATATAGGATTTCTGTATTCGGAATCGCCGGAGGCCACGTAGAGAGAGAGAGAGAGAGAGTTGCAACAGCGCACAACGCGAATGACACTAGAGACTACAGTAACCCAGCGATGTAAGGGTTGTAAATACTACAGCTTCAATAATTTTTTTCTCGGAAACTATAATATTTTACAACGATTTTGTTTATGATATTGTGTTTGCGGTACTCCCCAGCTACAATTGTTTTATACACAACACAAAACACTACGTTCTCTAAGTCTACCTAAAATAATGGTGACACCTCGAATATAGTTAATATAGCGCTCTGTGTAGCTATTACATTAATCGGGATCACATTATACTGTACACTCAAACACATCCACATTGTCAGGGGCAAAACGATGGAAGAAATATTCATCGTCAGGCAAAAAGTGAAATTTACCGTGTAACTTCCGTCAATTATTTTTGATTTCAGCGATGGAAACGTATGTTCATGCTTTCCGATGGCGCTGAAAAATAGTGCGCAAACCGGACAGCCGCTGATTGAAATCAATTCGTTATCGGGACCGACGGCGACGCGAAACGTAATTCGTTTGTGTCTATGTGCTCAACGATTCAATTAAGGATTTTGTCCGGGAAACGCTTCTCAATCCGCAGGCGGTCGCGTTTGTGCAATAAACACTGCCGCGATAGTTGTTCGAATGCAGTTAGGGGTAGTGCGCCTCTATTAAATTTAATGTTAGGCCATTACCGACTGCCATAGATCGGAGTTCGGAGGGGTAGATAAGGTTATGTCTGCTTCATGGGCCCTCAAATAAAAATAACGACGCATGGAATTTACTAAGTGGTGTAGTTTTCATCCATGGTTAAGGAATATTGAAAGAAACACGTGAATAATGTTGCTGTCAATAGATGGCGGGTCGAGAAACGGTAGATGGCGCAGCATTAAAGCGCCTGCGCTTTGTTTATATTAACTGCGAGAATAGTGTTATCTATGTTCGTTGAGAATGTTCTAGAACAATGTTAGCATAATTTGAATTTCACATGAATAGTATTAGATTTTAATGCATTTAATCTTCTTTCTAAAAACTAATAGTATCTACACGATATACTGTATACAGAGTGTTAATGAACTTGCCAAAAATTTAAAATGGTGAAAAAGCAGCAAAAACTGAGTTAACTGATGTCACAAATTTGTATCGAAAGTTTAAGGTCATAAAGAAAAAAACTAATTAAAAATGTGTTTAAAACTGTTTTGGAACTGCTGAAATACATGTATTTATTTATCACGGCGAATACTTACAAAAGATTCTGTAATACTTTTTACGAGATTGTAGGTTTCTTATGAAGCCGGACTGTATTCGAAAGTCAATTTGTAATACATTGTTGTAGTGATTGCTGTGCTGTTTTTCGAGAGTACATTTAATAGCCGTATTTCCAAGTTTTCTTTTGAACATGGCGCATTTATTTAGCAATCGCAAATATTATGATATGCTCATAATTTATGGCGAAGCAAACGAAAATGCCCACAGAGCTTGTCAAGTGTACCGTGCAAAATATCCTGTACGACGTGCCCCCGCACCGCGAACATTTGTGCTGTACCGCAAAGATATTTGGACACCGGTGAAGTACAACCGTATCGAGGTCACGACGGTGACCCAGGGCGACCACTAAGAATCTTAAATGTCGAGGAGATGATTTTAGACCTCGTCGAAGAAGATCCGCATCGTAGCACCAGAAATATCGCACAGCAAGTAAATATTTCGCATCCTGTTGTGTGGCGGACATTACGAGAAGATCAGTTGTACCCATTTTATATTCAACGTGTTCAAGCGCTTACTCCTGAGGATTTTCAACTACGTCGAGGTTTTTGCGTTCAGGAACATGCAAGAGGACCCCAAGACTAAGCCGCGGCAGCCTAGTTTTGTGGGGATTTGTGAAAAGTGTTGTGTATTCCACGAAAGTTCGTGACATCGACCAACTGCGACATCGTATTGCCGAAGCTTTTAATACAATTCGAGAGGACGTGGCCATATAGCAACGCGTGCGAGCGAGTTGGATACGTCGCGCTGAAGCTTGTGTGCAAGCAAATGGTGGGTACATCGAACATCTTCTGTGGAAATCAGCAGTTCTCAAAAGTTGTCTCCTTGCAATGTTGCGGTAGGTCAGATTTTAAAATTACAATTTACTGAACACAAATCCGTGTATTTAGCTCATTTTGACAAAGCGGACATGTAGCAAAAATATTTGACATAAGTTCATGAACACCCTGTATATTTCCACAGCCTTTGATTATATCCACAATTAATAAAAAGGAATACAGGTATAGCTACGGTCTTGCTTGAAACTGAAGATATTATACGGGAGACTCCTAATAATGATTATGTTAAGTTATAAAATGTGGCAAATGTTGGAAGAAGTTGCAGTAGAAGAAATGAGTCAAATAGAACAAATAGAATTAGTGTCATACCCAAATCTTGACCTACCGTATTATTTGGTCACTAACCTAGTTTTTATTGCGTTTTTAATAGATACATGAATAAATAATATATTTCTTTAAATTTTAAATGTTAACAAGTATTATTTAATTGTTAATAAAAACAAATGTATAATAATAATTTTTGAATGTTAGGTTATTACAATTTAGTATTTTTAATTGAATGAGTTTTTAGTATTATGTTTAATTAATTATTTAGTTTGCAGTACGTATACCTTAGTGGCGAATTAGTTTTCAAATAGTAGTATGATACCTACCTATTTAAAATGCCAGTACGGCTACAATAATACTCACCTGTCCGTAGCACTTGGTCATGTCATTAATTTTCTCATTTCAATAAATTATAAATTATTTAAGTATGTTCACAATTTTTGTTTAGCGAACGTTATTAAGCGAAATAGTTAACCATGTTTGTGTCATTGTAGACACATTGTGTACCGTCAATGATTTTGTACACTGAATATTTTCGTAAAAATTGCATTACAATTACATTACAATTAAAATAATATAATAGGAAAATTGCTAACCGAATCGTAGATATTTGTTCGATGCGACCGAGATACATCCTCTGCGAGACAAAAACAGATACCAGACACAGAATTGAGAAAATTGTATTTTTACTGTTTTTCTTACCTCTAATGCAATCTACAGGAGACATTCACCTCAGTAGAAAACGAGATTGGAATAGTAATGAGCAACATCTTGTTGAATAATGATGTTAGTTTGATATACGCCATACTGTTTGCGATTTCTTTTATTCTTCCATAGATTCGATTATGGATTTAAGTTACTGTTTTGAAATGAGTTACAGTGCATTAGAAGGATAACAAATTTATCGATTGGTATTCTTTATTTTATTATAAATAGATCAAGAAAATTTGTTTCTGCAAAATGTGCTTTAATACTAAAACTCCAGGCATGCAAAGGATATCTAACCTCACAGACATGATTTCTAATAGTTAGATTTTATTATTTCCACATTTTACTTAGAATTGCTTCTTCAGGTGGTCTCATTGCGAATGGAATTAATAAAAATTAATACTCAGAACAAAATATAGGCTATTTTTACGTGTTGGTCGTTGACAAGTGTGCGATCTTAGATTTGTAATAAAAAAAAATTTGGGGTTAAGTATTTTGAAATTTGAATTTGAATTTGAAATTTAATCTAGACAAACCAAAATTGTTTCTGTTAAAACAGACGAAATATTTAGTTTGTTATTATAGATACTATTATTAGAATATTTTATAAAATAAAACTAATTGGGACCCTTATTCTTGTAAAACATTCTGTTTAATTTTACCACACGCCTTGATAAAGCAGTTACAATTTTATTAATGTTTTTTTCAGAATTCAGCGGTCTGAGCCTATGTACGACAAGGTGTAAGTGAATACCCTGTAGATATATAACCCAAAAAACTGCCTGTTAACATTATAACCACACAGTCACCTTTTTTAAGTAAAGAGTGTATACAAAAACATTCAGCAATGTCAGAAGCGGAAAATTCATTTAAAGATAAGGTGGAATTGTGCAGGGTCATTCTCATGACATTCTGCTTACCTTATCTTTGTTACCTTTCTATATAGAAAAAAATTGATATAAACCAAAGTTTTGAGGAAATTTTCTTGCGATTTGAAAGAAATATATAAAAAACAATTAACTATTGCAAGATACAAACATTTTTAAATGGGATACCCTGTATATTTGTCCAAATATGGATAATCAAAATACAAGAAGGGATATTAAGCAACTCGAATACGACTCACCCGAGATTGTTTTCATTCTTCTGCACTTAATTTATTAGCGAAGATTTTATATCGGAACGCGTGGCTCGATAGATTCGAAGACGTCCTTGTCGAACAATGGAGCTCTCGGAATGTATGGGAAAGGGAGCGAATGAAAAAAAAAGAAGAATAGAGGGGATATTCAGTGGAAAACTAAAAAAAACTTAAGAAACCGTAACACATATCGTTCCTCTTATCACGTAAGGGCGTATAGTCCAAGAAATGGAAATACACATACGCTTCTACGTGATAATAGGGACGATATATTAGGACTTCTTGTGGATCATAGAAATGCCCGTCTACAAGAAGAGATTATTTAAAAAATGTTCTTTGTCTAGAACAGAACAGGGTTAAAACACCTTTTATAGTAGTTATTTTCCTTAATAAAATATTTAAAGAACTATTTACCGTCTTCAGTGGTGGAAAAGAAACGATATGCTCTGATGCCATTGCAATCTTGACATCCACTGTGAAGGATCGGAAAAACCAAAATATTGTGCAAAGTGTAAAAGCAAATATATGACATTTATATATCACTATATTTAGAAAAGTTGAAATGATCCCAAAAACGACAAATATACAGCGTATTCCATAAAAAGAATATGATACGGGGTTAGATTATTATATAAATAAATATAAAATGACCCTGTACATGAACTTTCTATTCTAGAATCCTTCAGACGTACGACGTAGTTTTTTATATTCAAGATGGAAACAATATATAAATATCTATCCCATATACATTCACGTAATTGTCTTCTTAAATATCTAAAACTTTTGTCAGAAATATAGGAAAACGTTGATCTGAATGTTTTTGTTGGTTTTAGTCTTTATATATTGAACCATACTACTCTTCATTTTCAACATGTTTTCTAATCTGGTCTTGGTGTCTTGAGATATAGTAGATGTAAACAATTTCCTATACCTACTTTAATTTTTGACTAGTTTTTATTAGAACTTATTAACAATGAATTTTTCTAATAATCTAACCTACACAAATTCTCATGCTTGCAATATACATTCACTGGAAATACTTTATTAATGAATTGTTACCTTGATCACTTATAAGGATGCTGAAAAAGTTTTTGTACCAAGCAAAGCTTACATTAGTCCTTTTAAATATTTCTATAGAAATTCAGTAAATCCTGTGAAGTAGATATAAAGCAGCATAGTGACCACTCTGTATATACTTTCGTGCCAAATACAATTACAATAAAAATAGTAAAAAGCTCAAGGAAACTATATCGCCTGAGTCAATTATTGCTACAAATTTGAATAATTCTAACATAAATAAACACAATTGGTGCGTGCGAAATATATAATGGCATAATGAACTGCCTTTATATTAAAATAGAAAAAAAAGTTGTTGAATAAAGTATAAGGTATTAAAGTAGTCACACGAAAGCAGAAAGAACTAATCGTGCCTAGGTATTTTCTATTTTCCTTTTGGGGTAAATAAAAGCAAAATTAGTTGTTATTTATTCACCGTTAAGAGAGTATTCATGGAATATTTGAATGTGAACTGATTACTTCCAGTATTCTCTAATGTTAAGGTTACACAGATTATATACTTTCACACACTACTATCTAGCTGCAAAAATATATATCATCTACAATGTGGCTCCGGCTAAGTAAAACGAATAGTTGTTTTACCTAGCCGGGAACACTACTACAGAGTACACTGTAAAAGTCTGAGTCTGAGTGAAAGCAAAAAGGTACTGAGTAAATCCATTGAATGAAATTATTGAGTAGATTTTCAGTTAATATTGGGCATTTTGATAATTTTACACATTTTTGATAATATTTGAGCTAAAAGTAATAGTTTCACTAATAAAATTTTAGTTGTACTAATACTAATAGCGAAAAATTTCACTCATTCGTGTGTGGACAGAAATTGATACATTGTTGAGTCAAATTGAGTGAAAATAAGTCCAATTTTTCTTACAGTGTAGAAAAATGAAGACAAAAAGTATTGAAAAATAACATACTGGGATTCAGCTCTTCTTGTTTGTGAAACATCTGCAAATCTGTAAAATCCAGTAAGCCTAAATACGTATCTAGCGACACCCTAATGCCTGCCCTGTCGGCTTCAGAATCTAAGTTTTTTGCTGAGGGCAGTAGCCGTGCATTTCATTGGTCAAGTGTATGGCATAGAGCGGCACACAGCTTGACCACAGATTTAGCTTATTTCTGCCAATACAACGCGTAATAGCACAAATTGGCATAATATAGATTACTACCGTTTTCGATATCTAGTTATTAAGGAAGGTTTCTCGGAATAAAAAGAGTATTCGTGCAATATTTGAATCTTCTAATATTTTACAGTTTTTTTTTAATTCTTGAAGTATTTTGGATTTTTCGCAGTATATCCACGTTTTTAATTGTTTTTTGAGGGGTTGCAAAGTTTTTAAAAGTTTCCTATGCATTTCTAATACTATTTTAATATATTCTGCAATTTTTTAAATAGTTTGACGGTGCTTCAGACTATTTTAAATGTATTTGACAGTGAACTTGAAGAATTTTTATGCAGTCTTGGAGTACTTTGACATAATAGTATGGAACCTTAATATTTTCCACACATATTCAATTTTTCAAGCAGAGAAGCTTTTCTTAATATGTTGTTCGTCACCAATATATTTGTCTCTTGCAAAAGCAGTTTCGCCCACCTGGAGACACGCTATATATTATGATCACGAAATAGCGTAGATATCAAATACATTTGTTTATAATACACATATATTTTGGTTTGGCCCGAGATCAGGATTTTTTTCGTGTATGCTAAGTTTAAACTGACAAAACAAAAGTTATAACAAAATACGCTTTTAAACTTTTTAAGTTTTCAGAAGTAAGTTCTAATTTCTTATTTACCTAGGTGCTATTTTTAGGAAATTGTTTTTACTTTGAATTTGTGCCCTAAAACTGCTGCCTTGAGACATCCACCGACCTTATCCTTCACAGCCTACACAAAAGCAACTGTATTTTTTATTCACTATTGTTTCAAAAGATATCGAACTTTTTGAATTTACTGTAGATACTTTATATGCAAATATTTACAGAAAATATATAGTCCTTAATAATTTACGTACGTATGTATTTTCAAACAAAGCATCAACAATCGAAAAAACAATCGCAAACAATTCGAGGCGAATAAAAAACGTGAGATAAAATCTGGTAATACACACAACAATTCTCATTAAACTATGCAAAATAGAGGATTTCGTCTACATTAAAGAAAATAATTTCCATAATATAAAAAATGTATGCATAATCAGCCTCAGGCGGGCAGACGGTCGCGGCTAACCTGATTGTATATTAAAATTCTAAGTGCGGCACTAGGCAATTTCCGTAATAGTGTGCTTTCAGGATAACGACGACTGCAACAAGCTAATTAAGCCGCAAAAAAATAATTGTTTCACTAAAAGCTTTATGTAGTGGTGTCGTTTGCGGTGGTTGTTAAAGTTAATAGACGTGGGTAGAGTAGAGAGACTTTTTACCGAGACATTTTTGTTAAAATCATCTTCGCAAGCGTTGGGAGATTAGATGAAAGTGTTCTGTGTTTCTCCGGATATAACACGATGTTTCCGAGCACACGAGTTTTATAGTTTGGAGCTTGAAAAACATTTAGAATGGTGGAATAAAATAATAATAGAAAAATCGCAAAATGTCCGCATCTCAATTGGGTCATGCCATGAAATTTTGACTGAAACATTGAACATACATCGAGTTGCAGCATTTGTTCCTCGTTTGATGACCGATCAACAGAAAGAAAATCGTGTGAACGTTTATCGGCAACTCCTTGAACAATACAATGACGATAAATCATAACGGGCTACGACATTGAGACAAAAGCTCAAGCACCACAATAGATTGGTAAAGGACCTCTAACTCTAACAACTCACGGTTCTTGAACCACGACAATGCACACGCACGAGTGTGCATATGATGTTTGTGCCAAACATCATATTAAGGTTGTTCTTTATCCTCCTTATTCGCCAGACCTGGCCCCTAGCGATTTTTTCTTATTTCCAAAATAAAAGACACCGTTTTCAGACTATTGATGATGTCAAAGTAAATTCGTCACACACTTTAAAGGCCATTTCAAATTAAGCTATCCAGGACTGTTTTGCGAAATGGAAATACCGCTGGAAAATGTGTGTGAATAGGAAAGGGGAGTACTTTGAAGGGGACAAGTACGAATAATGTAAAAATTAATAATTTTGTTAAAAAAATTACGTGCCTTTATTTTCCTTATTTGCATATCGTATTCAGTAGCCATTAATTTATAAAGAGTATTAGATCCAGTAGAGGATCAAGTATGACAAGGTAAAAATGATTTAGAAAAATAATTGACAAAAAACGTTGACAATATCAAAAGTATTATTGATCTGATATCATTGTAACTCAGACAGGATGAAATTGAGGAGAACTTATAACATAATAAGAAGGCCCTCAATAGCGACGTTTTAAACATGCATCTGAAAAACAAATCTGCTTCGATGTCTCTACTAAATAACCGTGGCTATTTCAAATATCAATAGTGAGCAAAGCAAACACAGCTAGCGCTATATGTGATCAGTGATATTTTAAAAATATGTACAGTGAAATCTCCCTTGGGCGGACACCAACGGGGCCGACTGAAAGTGTCCCTTCAAGAGGGGTGTCTGCCTAAAAGAAATACGAAAAAAAATCGTTTTTTAACGAAAACCGCAATTAAAGAAATTGGGATATTTAAAACATATAAATAAAAAAATTAAAACTTAAGGACAGAATCATAATTCGTCATTTTACAAAATATGTCCATACAAAATATAATAGAATATAGTAATACATAAAATGAAATAAAATATCAGTTTTTACGATTTAGGTCTTTTTCTCTATCTAGAAAATCTTGTCTAATCAATATATCAATTAATTTTTTTTATTAAAAATCAAAAAATGCGCAAAGGGACGCCTCGAAGCAAAAATTAGCTGTCTCTTGACACACATACCTACGTAGCCCACCGTAGTATAGGTATAATCCAGCGATTCATATCACATTACATTAAGCTTAACATCCTCTTCCACGAAATGAAGCTGCACTTTGCAGGCTAAGTGTTATTAAGCCGAATATCATTAGATGCTTGACGTAATGTAACATGGCCTGTTGAGCAGTTATTAAGGACGATGTAGTGCTCCTCCTTATCGGCTTAGTACAGTACACCGGGGTATATTGCCAGTTCTGTGTGTACTTTGTATACAGATTGTCCCACGTTAACATATGTCGTTTGCTTGAATAATGAGTTTTAAATTTATCACAGTAAAATGAGGGGAATGTTTTGTTCGAACTATTGCTCGAATTGGCCCCTTCATTTTTCGGATACGAAAATTCTAAATTACTTTTCCGTATTGATGAAAAAAGCTGCTAGATCATGCCGGCGACCATTTTGTTGTTTAGATCATGCCGGCGACCATTTTGTTGTTTCGAAATTTAATATGTGTTCTCTTTTTAAGTTTTTTGAAGAAATTATATTTCAAACGAAATGTTTATTGAACAGTAGCACTTTGAGAAACAAGGCTAGCCTTGTTTCTGAAAATTCTACTATATCCTAAGCATTGTCTAATAGAAATTCCGAAAATAAATCGAATCCAGTAAACACAAAACAAATATTAAAATTGAAAAGATCTAGATTTACACAATAGGAAATCTGCAAATCGCATTTCTCTTTTCAGCATATCAACGGTGGTAGCCAGCCTGGCCTCACCTGCTCCGATGGGCGACCCCAACGGCAACAATGACTCGGGGTACGTCCACAGCCAGCAGGATATCAGGGTGCCCGAGAGCCCGAGGCGAAGCAGGAATCCTGCTAAAAGAAACGGAGCGACCTTAGATACCGAGCTTAGGTAGGATATTCTATAAATATTGTTCTTTGACTGGTTGTTTTGTTTGGTTTTGCAAAGTTGCCTTATCGCGCTTTTCGTTACACGCTACGAGTGCGTTGCGGATATCGGACGGCTCCATCTGGAAAAATGGAGTTCTGAGTAAGATATATGTAGAGGGGACGGTGAATCCTGGAAGGAGATGCGTGAATAGACACAGAAGCGTCACTGGGATGTGTTTTTTGTAAGCGTCTAAAAAATATTGCCGTTGGAAATTACTAACAGTTAAATAAATAACAAAATAATTCAGCAGTCAAAGGAAAATTTACAAAAAATAAAAAAATTCAAATGGCTTAGATTGCTCTAAATGAAAAAATATAAACACAATTATATATTACGATGTATATGAGTCGTAATACGTAGTAACGCAATATTTAAAAAAAGTTTAATTCTCGTAAATCGACATGTTCAATAATCTCTGATTGTTCCCCCACACCAAGAACCAGTTTCTTCCACGAAATTTAATATTCTCTTTAAGTTGTGTTGGTTAGTTTTTTCTTTTTAAACCTAACAACATTTCGCTTGGGATTCTATCCGTCTTTTGTAAAAAAAAACAAATCCGGCACCGAGCGGTAAAGGTAATTCCATTTGCAATGGAAATATCAAAAAAAGAACTGAATTATTCTTTGTTTAATTATTCTGGAATTGAAACCCTCGGGTAATGTAGTAAAGGGCAAACCCCCTAATCCATAATACGCTACAAAAAAAATTACTTGCAAAAGATAGAAAAGAGAAAGAATTTAATACATGTTAAAGTGCTTAAAAAGGTCTGGTTGTGTTAAGCTACTTACTGTTCAAGTAATTAAAGGTTAAAAAACTGGGGACGTATACTTACTGTTTCCATAATAATAGTAGAAGAGGAAACATTTATACGCTTCTGAGGTTATGTCGTGAAATGTTCGAATATCTTTATACGTATTGATAAGTACGACGTCTATTCAGAAAATAACCAAACTTTATTTTTTTAAACTTTGTTATTAATTTTATATTTACTTTATTGGTCGCAGTGTCCTTCAAAGTCACCTCTCCCCTATTCACACACTTTTCCCAGCGGTGTCTCCATTTCGCAAAGCAGTCCTGGATAGCTTCATTTGAAATGGCCTTTTAAAGTCTTAAATGAATTTGCTTTGATGTCATCAATATATGAAAACGGCGTCTTTTCAGCAACGCTTTTAATTTCGGAAATAAGAATAAATCTCAAAGAGCCAGGTCTGGCGAGTAAGGCGGGTGAGATAGGACAGTAATCTGATTTTTGACACAAAACAAACAAATTGACAAAGCTGAGTGCGCGGTCGCGTTGTCATGGGGCAAGAACCATGAGTTGTCTCACCACAACTCGTGGCATTTTTTGGATTTTATCATGTAACCGTTGTAAAACGCCTTGATAGTAACACACGGTACATTCTTTCACCATGAGAAATTCCAAATGCGCAATTCCATTAAAGTCATGAAAAAACAGTGAGCATCTCTTTGACATTGGTTCGAGACTGATGTGCTTTCTTGGCGCGTGGAGATTCTTCGCCAATCCATTGTGATGATTGGCATGATATCAGTGTCGTAGCCATAAACCTTTTTTCGTCTCTCCTTATGATCCTTTGTATGAATGTTTCATTATCATTGGATTGTTCAAGAAGTTGCTGACGAAGGTCTACGTGACTTTTCTCTGTTGTCGATCTTCTTCTTCTCCTAGTGGTTGGTCCTAATAAGTCCCATAGCACTGCGGCCTAGTTAGGTCTATTGTGTGTCCCACTACTAGTCCTATTCAGCAAGTAGATTTGTCCTTTTTACAAAATCCAAAGGCTTCCTTGCTGACACTTCTCTCAGTTTCTTGAGTTCCAAATAGGGTCCCCCAAGGAGCGTCATTCTGCTACGTGCAAATCCCGGGCACTCGCCCAGGATATGTAGAGAAGTTTCATCCGCCGATTCACATTCTCGGCAGACCGGACTGTCTACAAGCTTTAGCTTATGTAGATGTTTCCTAAAGTGACAGTGTCCCGTTATGAGTCCTGTCACTCTCCTGAGCCGGATTCTATTCAAGCTCAGTAGCTCATTCGCTCTTCCCTTCGAAGGATACTCCATAAGCTCCTTAGAATGGCTATGTCCTGGCCTTGAAGTCCAGTATTTCCTATGTTCTGTCTCTGTCCATTTGCCCAGAGCCCGCCTGACCACACTGGGAGATGTGCCACAGAAGGGCTCCGGGCCAATGAACACTGTCTCGGATCCCTTCCTAGCAAGTTCATCCGCTTTCTCATTTCCACAAATGCCTTTGTGCCCTGGCACCCAACACAGTCTGACTGTATTGTTGGTGGCCAGTTCAGTCAGCATTTGTAAACAGTCCCACACCAGTTTTGAACTTACCTTGTGTGCGGCTAAAGCTTTAATTGCAGCTTGACTATCAGAGAATATATATATGAGTTTACGTCTATAACCTCTACGTACATTCTCTGCCAGACACGCCATTATCGCGAAGATTTCTGCTTGGAATACAGTAGGGAACTCCCCCAGACTGTAGCTTGCACTCCATCTGGGTCTGAGTCCATATATTCCTGCACCCGTCCCTCTGGTCATTTTGGAGCCATCTGTAAACCATACTAGGCTCCACCTTTCCAGGGTATTAAACCTTTCCTCCCACTTGCTTTGATCCTCTATTCGAGTCTCAAATGGCTTGTGGAAGTGAAACCTTGGAACCATCTTGTCGGATACCATCCCAAGAGTTGGTTCCGACATAGATGTGTCTATGATCCTGGAGTGGGAACCACCCCTCCAGTCATTGTTATTCCTGAGTCGATATGCTGCTAGCCGCGCTTCTCTTTCCACCACTATATGCAGCGGTGGCAGATTTAGCATGACTTCTAGTGCAGCTGTCGGGGTCGATGCCATCGCCCCCGTTATACCTATACAGGCCAATCTCTGAATTCTATTCAGTTTTTCCCTCGCTGTGGTCTGTTGTGTTTTTTGCCACCATACCACAGCGCCATAGAGAATCCTTCCTAGGTCTTACTATCGATGTATACAACCAGTATGACATCTTTGGTTTCAGTCCCCAGGGTTGTCGATCTTTAAACGACAATCAAATTTTGCTGCAACTCGATGTGTGTTCAATTTTTCAGTCAAAATGTCATGGCATAACGCGATTGAGTTTCTAACCTCTTCTACAATTTCTCCGACAGTCAATCGACGATTTACAAGCACCAGTTCTTTGATATTCTGAACGTGGTCATCAGTTCGAAGTCGAAGGCCTGCCTGGTCGAGGACCATCTTCGGTTGACTGACGACCACTTTTAAATCGTAAAAACCATTCATAACATTGCGTACGACACAGAGCATCATCTCCGTAAGCTTGTTTCAAAAGTTGGAACGTTTCCTTAAAAATTTCCCCCGTTTCATGCAAAATTTTACGTTACATCGTTGCTCCAGAAAATCACATTGCCTCAAATAACAATATCACGAAAACTAAATGTGATATCAACAATCCAAGAACATGTGGTTTCAGAGGAGATTATATTAAATGTCTCCATTAGCGAGGAATTTAAAAAATACGGTTAGTTTTTTAACGGACCTAGTTCAGTGATCTTTTTACCCCTATTTACATGATAGCAGTACGGATATTCGCAACATGAAGGTCACCTCATCTCACTTTTATATTTTATGAACCAAAAAACTAGTTTTATTGAAATGTATTTCAGTTCTACATCATTTACTTTTACTACATAACTCTAATACGTTTTTTCCTAATACGGTGAAAATGAAACTCGAGTAGAGACATTTCTAGACGAATAAAAGAGGTGCTGCAAATAAAACTGGGCGACAACATAACCGCGACAGTAAAAAAAAGAGGGAGAGTCGAATATACTGGCTGTCGGGAGGGCTCTACATTTGAATAAAATAAAAAATAACGGGTTACTTACACCCTCACGTGTGTTCTGAGTTTCCATCTGCGTCTACGGAACAGGTCTTTTAAATGGATTTTACCCAGACGGGCTCACGTTTTGTCTGAGGCGCAAAAATTCCAGTCCAGACTACTAAAATAATACGTCTGGTAGGTCGGGAAATGGGTCTTTTTTTTAAAATGATTGAAATTGCAATACAACAACTAAAACCCACAATACGTTTACCCTTCTTTTTAAACAGCAATATAATATCCAAAAAGTAAACGCAGCAGAAAACCGAAAAAAATTAAATTAAATTAAATTTATTCGTGTTATTTTTACACTTTGGTTCCTCTAATGCACTTTTAGGTTCCTGATGAACCTTTAACACCATAGTAGACACCATTTTGTTATTATTTTATGTTTTCTATTATATTTTGTCAAATTGCGTATGTCTTTTAGTTCTATGAAACACTTGGTTTACTCTAGTGCACTTTTACTACCCTGGTACACTTTTAGTACCATAATACAATTTTATTATTACGATTTTATTTTATTTCTTTTCTATTATCTTGTATCAAAGTGTGAGTACCTTTGAAACTTCTCTTTTAGTGCAGTAGTACACTTGTACATGTACACTTTTGCTATTCAGGTCCATTTTTGGTACTTGATACACTCACTATTATGACATACACTTCTTTTCCACCATTTTCCTAAATTTGTTGAGTGCTTTTGAAACTGACTACCTTATCCTTGTCGACAGGACTGTAGCAACAATAAATTCGGGGATGGCAGTGGCGGCGTCCACGGGGTCGAAGAAGGAGAGGAAAGCGACTGCCGCAGCGCGGTTTACCATATACAAGGTCAATAAAGCGAGCAGAAAGAAACGGGAAAAATCTTCGGCGAAGAAAGAGAGGAAAGCGACGAAGACGCTGGCCATTGTGCTCGGTAAGTATTTTTACATTAAAGGAGCAAATAACTATTTATGTACAGACTGACACAAATATAAGTTTGTGTTTCTGACTCAGAAGAGCTACGTGAGATTGAGAAAGTACGGAATAGAAGGAATAAGATTTAGGCGCAGTGATTTGGAATAGCGACTACCTGGATCTTTCCATTGTCGTGTCCAGTCCAACTTATTTTGTGTCAAGCTGTACGCGAAATAATTCTTTGAAGTTTATTGTGCAAGTGCCTTCGTCTAAGCATTTGACGTGCTTGATACATGCAATATTTTTCAAATTATATTTTTAGAATGACAACTTTTTGACTAATTTTCTAATGCTTTTCGGCATTGTCTCGTTTCATAAATATTTACTGGAATCATGAATCGTGAGTGCCGCCAATCGCTTGACTACAATGTCTATTATGAAAAGAAAAAAAAAAGATGGATAAAAACCATGTAATAAGCAAAGATAATTATGAATGTTGCTCTTGCTACTCTAGTGGTGGGGCGTATAAACCTCAACTATCCTTTATCATAGTCATGCCAGATTTTGAAAATTATTCCCAAGTTCTGGGGTAAAATACTCCAAATTTATGAAACTAGAGAAAGGGGGAATTTACTATATCTGGAAATTTTGTACCTTTGTACAAAATAAGGAATTTCAGAATGTATTAAATTTTTTATAGAAGAAAATATGGTAAATCAATGCAGTAGAATCTGTTTCTGGAAAATTGTTTAAAAGATTCTTTTCGGAAAACAGCCAGTTATTTTTTTTAAAGTCATAAAATTTCACAATTTGCATTATAAAACCCACTAGGAAATTTCTAGCTATTAAAAAAATTAAGGTCACTACTGGCTCTCTTCTTGAGCTGCCCATCTCATGGACATGACGAGTTTGGTGACCAATAACAACTACCAATAACCATAACCAATAAGACTACGCTTGAGACTAAATATAAAATGCGGCATCATCGGAGTTGAGCGAAGATGTTTATTGCTTTCTTTAACAATGAATTGTAAAAATATTTCTGTTTTTATCATACTTACTGGTTTAAGTATTGTAGACAAGGGCCTGCCATCACTATATATTGAAAAAAATCAACATTATACTAAGACGTATTTGGTAATTGCAACTTTTGGCTCGAGGGAACCTCCATGGAACTCAGTCTTCACAACCCCTCTCCCCTCTATAGGAGACTGATCTCTATCAATTTACAACTTCGTTGTTGTACTTTCATCTAAATTTCGCGTAATTCAAGATTTTTTTTAAAGCCGTGATACTTAGAGGCAATAAGAGAAAAGCTACAACACTCAAGGCGTTGTTCCCACCAAGCAGCCATAATTCCACATTAATTAGCAGTGCCAGACCGTTATGTCTGAGGGCGGACCGAGATACGCTGATGTTTAGGGAGATAATGGGGGCAGTCGTAAAAAAATCCTCCATTAAATTCGCTCTAAAAACGAATTACTTCGAAATTGCGTCAGAACAGCTCGGCATTGTTTTAATTCCTGGGGTTTACGAGCGAGACATAAATTTTGTGAATTGTGCGGAGTAATTGTTATGGGTTTTGAGATAGGAGTTATAGATGGAGAAATTAAAAAGTGTACCTATTTCCTAAGACGCATTTTCTATAAATTATGTTTTTTAATCATATCTGGTTCATATTCTATAAGAAACCTTCGGCAGAAGTAAACCGTATTCGCTCAGGATTCAAAAGAAAAATAATATAAACAATCTTTCAAATTGTAACCTGAGGGGTTATTTCTTTATTTATCTATCTATCATTATGACCAGTATCATAACGAGTCTGGATTTCAAAAGAGTTTACTATTTAGTCCTCGAAAGGGAGTTTATAATTATCATTACATTTTAATTAATACGTGGGAACTTAGAAATGTTGTATGTTCAGAGAATGAATTTCAAGCACTTACCATCCATTGCTTACGTAGAATGTAATCCAGTGACTGGCTGTACAGGGTGACATTGAGGTAGGAAGAACAAAAAGAAACACCAAAACTTTCCAGGAAGGGTTTTAATAACAATAAAAACAAAACAAACTAACGACACAACGGGCTCGAACAACATTATGAATTCATTTATTTACACGCGACAGCGTACCGAGATTCAAGGAATGCGCGATCCATAGCAAAATTTGGAATGACTATCCATTATTAAATTAACTCGAGACTCTAAAATTAAGTAGACTACTCAATGTGAAACCCAAGGAAGAACTGCCCTTTTTTCGGATATTTCTCCTGAATTCGACAATTCGCTTCGACACGCCCATTTCTTGGTTCCAGACGTTTCTGTTCTTATCTTACTGGCGGGAACTCTAAATATCGGGACGCTTTGTCATGTTAATAGTTATCTAATTGACTGATTTTACAATTGTCAAAATAATTTCGAAACTAAACTTACATACAAGTAACCCTAGCCTTCCTCTAGTGAGTCCGTGTAGCGATACGGGACGGATTAGTCGATCTCATTTAATATATCCTTATAGCTTGGAAAATCCGCCAAAAAAACAGCTATTTGATCTATTATTTTATTTTCCAATTACTATCAATTTAACAACTTGATTTAATTCTACTTTGGAACCTCCACGCTCTTCTCGTGGTTTCGCGCGTTGTTAAAAATATAGATTTTTCTCTTTATTATGTCCCAGCATAGGCTGGTGCCTCCCGGACGCAACAGATGACTGTCACATGGCCCCGACGGTCTAAGTGAACTTATTAAAAAAATATTGCTAAATTTACTTGAGAGCCCTTAACTTTCGATAATTATTGTTGACTGAAATATTTAACGATCTGAGTTGGCCCCTCCATTCCGGGAACTAACAAATAAATTACCACGTGTCCCGGCTTTTGTTACAAAATTTAAACAAACGTTTTAAATATTTTCTCTCCTAATTTTTTTCTTCTTTAAAATTATCCCGAGAAATCGTGCATAATCAAAAATTTTACAAAAAAAGGATATGCCATCATACGTAAACGTTATCAGTAAATTTAATCTAATTTATATCTTATTATTTTACTTCACAAACACGTATGTGTACTGGGAATTTCAAATATCATTTCCCGGTTAAGTTAACACCGAAATTGGACTGTCTTTCCTATATCAGACATGTTTCGAATTCTGTATAGTACATCAAAAGTGATACGTATACGTACCTGAGTTGTTATTGCAGAAGTTGCGTCTATCTTATAGAAAAGTACATTTATTATTATTAAGTAATTCTTTACTTTCATTTTACGTTTCATCCAAATCTTTTCACAATATTTTAACTAATTAGTTCATACTGCAACGAATATAATACCTTACCTTGAAAAAATCCCAAATGGAAAAAAGAAAACAACTAGATAACTTGTAAATTGTTTTCAATAACTTTTTCGAGACATTATATACAGGGTGTCCCGTTCATGTTTCAAAAAAACTTGTGTGCAAGTTTTTATTTGATATTATTATTATTTTATTTTATTTTTTTAGTCAATAAAATGTTTTACTATTTAACTGTTTCATGTGATACGTAAGAAATTAAAATTATAGTCTTAAATGCAAATACTATTGGTAGTTAAATGTCTTCAGCTCATTCAATGGTAAGGTCCTTTCTCAATTTAATATATTGTTAATGTACTTGTGCCGCTTTATGCGAGCAAAAAAAACCAACTTCATTTTTCTCGAAAATGGTATATGCTACCGAATTTCGACAAGTATACCTTTTTTCTGTAGTATCCTTTAGAGTTTACAGAACCGTTTAGAAATGTAATAAATTTTGACTTTTAACATATTTTTTCTTCGATAGTACCCCTTCAATTACCTGTATCGGCGACACTGCTTTTCAGAAAGAAACCGTTTGCCCATTATTCTTAATGCACAGTTGATGTTTGCTCGTGTACAAATTTTGACATTTTTATCTTTAGCCGTTTTAAAGATAATTAAGGGAAACCATTTGGAAAGTAACAACTTCAACACACTGTATTTCGAAAACAGGGCGTCTAAGAAAAAAACTTTATATGAACTACCCCTATTATTTTCCCAAGAGGAACTTACACACAAGTTTTTTTGAAACATGAACGGGACACCCTGTATACATATTATAAAAAATATCCATCAGTTTGTGTAGATTTGTATAATCGAGATGCACTTCATATTGATCTCTTCCAGATAATGTGGGTGAATATTTTAAAATATATTTCACTGTTGTAAAATAAAGATGAAGGAAAGAAAGTTGGCGTTGTTTTCGCGATCCCAGTAGAAAAGTCAGGGAGAAAAAAATAACCTTTACAAATTATGCAGATCGCGCGCTTTGCCTTCAAAGTAACAGTGTTAATATTTGCTCCTGAATTTAATTCAGCTTCATTACTTTTTCACCGCGGCATTTATTATTAAAACACAAAACCTATTTCGCCAACAATAATTTATTATTTATCCCCCTGAACGGCCATGCGGCTCATTCTGCTCCACGCCANTGTATTCAAGCGTCAGTAACGGCTGAAATTATTTCGTCTGTCGTCCACATGCGTTTCGATTTTAATAATAATATTATTATATTATATTATATTATATTATATTACATTACATTACATTACATTATATTATATTATATATATTCCTATTCTATTCTAATACAACTACAGTGAATTTGAGAATATGACCTGTTTGAGTAGAAAACTTTTATAAGACTGACAAGAGATAATAGATTTGTAAGATTTTGATTTATTTTTTTGGGTACAGTTGGTCTGCCCTTAGATTTTCATTTGCAAAAGCATTGTTTGGTTTCAAATCTTTTGATAATAACACATTTTCAACTTAAGATAGTGTCATAGTCAATGTTGGCATCCGGAAATTCCGTCATAAATTGTTAAATGCAGGATTGCAAAGAATATGTCCATGACCCATCTTCATTTCAAGTTCCATTTTGAAAATGAGCCGGTACAAAAAAAGCATATTATTCTGGAGTAAAAGACATAATACGCTATGAAAAAAGTATATTATTAACCTCAAAATTTTATTTCTCGTACAAGTTACCAGTAATTAGCAAAAAACGAAATTCAAGCAATACCAGACACGGACGACGACACTACTGAAAAATACACAAATGTCAATATAACGATTCATTAGCAATGAACAATAACAGAATGTTGCGTCCACACTTAAGATAATGTGATTATTGATTGGTTGAATGAAATATAGGGACAAATTACACAATTACTAGCTGGTAAAACAGAATATTGTGTTTTAATGTAACTTTGGTCTTATTATTTTAGTAATTTTAATTTGACCAAACTTAATTACCAACTCAAAGGAAATAAAACTGTCAAAATTACTTGCCGCGGCTTGTATTCATTTAGTCTGTATCAAAAAGTGAATTTAGGGGACTCTTCTAACGAAACTAGTTTTCTCAGTGTAGTACTCATACATGCAGAAATTCAAAGCCTCCCGGATCTCACGCAGCCCTTTGTTCCAGGCGTCTTTCTGATATGCTGGGTGCCCTTCTTCACGTGCAACATCCTGGACGCCATGTGCAGCAAGCTGAACCTGCCCTGCCAACCGGGCGTGGCCGCCTTCCTGCTCACCACCTGGCTGGGCTACATGAACAGCTTCGTCAACCCCGTCATCTACACAATCTTCAACCCCGAGTTCAGGAAAGCGTTCAAGAAGATCATGTTCCTCGGGCCCTAATTATTTGGAGGAATGTGCGAATCGCTGAAGTGGTAAACTTTTTAGGCGAAATCGAAGTCAGAAGTGACTTTCGGATAGAAATATACAGTGTCGCAATAAAGTAGTTGGTGTAAATGGACAACAACGTTATCAATTTGTCAAAAATGGTGTTATTTTTAAAAATTTTGAAAAGTGCTAGAGATAAAGTTGTTTATTTTTCATTTTTGTAGTCATGCACTGCACTTTTTGAAAAAAATTCAAATTTGATATCAAATTTTCTCAAATGTGTATCTTATTATAGACGAACGGTCCACCCCTAAAAAGATGCTTAGAAAATCAAGGTCATCGACCACGAGGAGAGGCCAGGATGAAACCTTTTGTAAACGATGCATTGAGTTATTGTGAACAAAAAACCTAAGTAACATCTTTGTGTCCGAGTGGCAGGTAATTTGTTATTAACAAAAAAATTGCAAAATAAAAATATTGCAAAAAAACGCTCTGCAAACAATTTCCTAAATTGATAAATTGGGTAAAAATAAACACTTTTTGTCTCTTGACATTTTTTCGTAGAACGCTTCCTTTTCGAGCTAGGGGCGATTTAAGGTCGAAAAATGGCTCAAATTCATATCTCAGCTCCTACCAAAGCTTTCGGAACATTCAAAAGCGTAAAATGATCCTCGAGACTTATACTTTAATGTAGTATTTTTTTAAAACCCGCCCCCTTTTTTTAATCCGTTAAATTTGCAGTTGAATTTCGGTCGCTAATGCCCACCCCACGCGCCACCCCTACCTATCGCTATACATACTCGTAGATATAGGCGCTGTCGTGCATATAATCGAATAAACGCTATTCATTCATTACTTGTTACAATTTTTACTATTTAGTATTACTAACACTCATACATATTTTCAAATTAATCAAATATTGTATATCATATAATTATTTATAAGATTTATAATATGAATATCATATTTAAATGGAAAATAAATTAATTAAACATTGCAAAAAATGCATATATCAAAGGTATTTATTAATACAAAAAAATATATTTACATTTAAATATAAACTTAACTATTTAATAAAAAATCAATTTTCAGTCTCCGAATCAGTATCATCAGTTTGTATTTCTGCATTTTGACATTTTATAGAGCAATTGCAAAGATCGCAACATTTGAAGCCTTGTGATAAGCAAGAACAAATGTCTTCATCGCTGCAGGGTAACTTTCCACTGCAGGAACATATGAATTTTTGTAACATTTCCATGGCCGTATCTCCTTCAAAATAATTGTAGCACAATACATTATTTTTTAATATCCAGCCATATTGTGTTGGGTCGAAGGATGTTATGCTTGCAGATCTTGCTTGAGACCATTCATTGATTTGCCATTTAACACGCATAACATGTTGTAACAATACAGGCTCTGCCGGAGGTATTGATGATGGTATTGGTATCATGATGATTCGATATTTACTATACTATCATGTACATACTAGCTATTGGGAATAATAAATATTGTATTAAATAACGAATAGCACAAGAATATTTTTCGAAAACTTACCTGCAGTTTTATACAACATTGAATATTCACATACGTTGCATGATTGTTTACAGACTAATAAAGGATTGTTGCACTATGACAGCACACATGAATATTGTAGAAAATGTATTATTTATTTTTTATACATTCTTTGTCAAATGTTCACTGTTATTGCCTGATGCCAGACAATAAACTAATGATCCATGCGACACCCGATCACTGCAGTCTAATCCATTGCGCTTGTTTAAACAAGTTATAACAAGTAATTCGCATAAGCGCACGTTCGCGAAAACTCGGTTAGTTAATATTTTGGTTGACTATCTATGCGTATCCTTTTATAACATTTTATATTCTAGTTCTAAATAATTTTTTGATATAAATATAGTTATATATAGTTATTATTATTGAAGCTACATTAATGAAGATACAGTTATAAATATAAATCAATATATTTGTAACGTAATACATATTATTTTCCATTTAAATATGATATTCATATTATTAATCTTATAAATAATTATATGATATACAATATTTGATGAATTTGAAAATATGTATGAGTGTTAGAAATACTAAATAGTAAAAATTGTAACAAGTAATGAATGAATAGCGTTTATTCGATTATATGCACGACAGCGCTATATCTATATATAGCGATACGTAGGGGTGGCGCGTGGGCACTAGCGGCCGAAATTCAGCTGCAAATTTAACGGGTTAAAAAAAAGGGGCTGGTTTAAAAAAAATACTACATTAAAGTATAAGTCTCGAGGATCATTTTGCGCTTTTGAACGTTCCGAAAGCTTTGGTAGGAGCTGAGATATGAATTTTTAAAGTTGGCAACTTTTAGCCATTTTTCGACCTTAAATCGCCCCTAGCTCGAAAAGGAAGCGTTCTACGAAAAAATGTCAAGAGACAAAAAGTGTTTATTTTTACCCAATTTACCATAGAAAATTGTTTGCAGAGCGTTTTTTTGCAATATTTTTATTTTGCAATTTTTTTGTTAATAACAAATTACCTGCCACTCGGACACAAAGATGTTACTTAGGTTTTTTGTTCGCAATAACTCAATGCATCGATTACAAAAGGTTTCATCCTGGCCTCTACTCATGGTCGGTGACCTTGATTTTCTAAGCATCTTTTTAGGGGTGGACCGTTCGTCTCTATTAGTTACACAGTATTAAAATAAAAAAATTAAATTAAAATAAGTACCTAAATAATTTAATAATTTCTATAGGAATGAAAAATTGTAATAAAACAAAACAACAAAAGTTAAAAATTCATATCAGAATCGTAAGATATTTTTATACAAAAAATAAAAAATATTTTAAGATTACCAGAAGTCACTTCTGAATGCTGTAAAACTTTCCAGTCTTCGGTTTTGCCTATGAACTGAAATTGTTTGGACTTCTTGCTCAATACTTCAATTTTTCAATAACTTTTTAGTTTGTTCAAAAATAGAATTAAAATATGACAGCAGTGGCGGATTTTTTAAAAATTAAGAATTATCATAACAGTAGTACAACAAACAGTTGTTTGTATTGGTTTTATTTATACTTATTACAGTATTGATATATTTTAATTAACATATTATTACAGTATTAATATATGCACAACATTCCCAGATTTCATATACTTATGTTTACAATATTGTATTATTTAGGCCAGGAAAAAGAGCTGGGAAATTACTATTTCTCAACTTTTTGTTTCGGCAAGCTGAATTTATCACTATAGATGCTAAATATTATGTACAATAACATATTAGTTTCTCAGTCATAAAAATGGGGGTAAATTCACGTTTTTCACTTATAACTTTTTTCGTTCATTTCCACGAGAAAATAGTAACGTACTTTTTTTCGTCTTCAAAAGACCTACAAAACTAGCCTCCGAGCGTCAGAAAATATTAATTAGATCAAAAGTTATAAACAGAAGAAGTTTATTTATGACATTTGAATGAAACATTTATAAACTGCGTTATTATTACCAGAACGTTTTGGAAGGGTGGGGGAAGCGAACGACACCGAATCCGAAGAAAATGACGACAATATTCATAGTCCTGCTGTTAAAAAAGCGAAATTCGCTTGAAAATAATATATTTGACAGTCTGTAACTCCGTTGTTTTTTAACGAATCTTGACGATTTTTTTTAACCTAAAGATCTTTTCATAAGTTTTCCAAATATGTAATAATATATAATTATATAACAAGCGTGTATCGTATACAGTTGCAGAAAATTTGGCGGTAAAAGAACCTGGACTCATATGTGAAGGAGGTATAAAATTTGTTTTATTTCATTTTGCAACTAAGGCTAAAAAATAAAAAAACTTTCCAGGTTGCAAATTTGAAATTAAAAAAAATTATAGATTTCAATGTATCATTATGAAATCTACCATGAAAAAAATCAGTGCGAAGATGCTCGGGATCGTCCAGACTAATAATTAGTTAATCTGTTTATAAGGCCATAACTTGTAAACAATTCAACTTACCGATTCCAGATTTCGTGAGAGTTATTAGACAGTGATAAGGAATGAGAGGATTTGATGCCAAAACGTTCTGGTAATAATAACGCAGTTTATAAATGTTTTATTCAAAAGTCATAAATAAACTTCTTCTGTTTATAATTTTTGATCTAATCAATATTTTTTGACGCTCGGGGGCTAGTTTTGTAGGTCTTTTGAAGGCGAAAAAAAAGTAATTTACTTTCTTCTCGTGGAAATGAACCGAAAAAGGTTATAAGCGAAAAACCTTAATTTATGTAAAAATTATACGATTAATCACCCTGTAAACAATCTTCCTCCAATTTTTATGACTGTGGAAACTAATATATTATTGTACATAATATTTAGCATCTATATAGTGATAAATTCAGCTTGCCGAAACAAAAAGTCGCGTCCAACTCTATATTTCCTGGCCTAACTGACAATTCTTTCTAAATACTGTTTTCGAAACATCGGTAAATATTTCTAAAGCCGATTACACGTGCTCTGCTAGTTATAGCTTCGACAGTTACAGCAATACATGTTGGTTTGTACATTTACAAATAAATAATAACAAACAGTTTTTGAGGAGATATTGTCTTTAACCTTTCGTTTGACACATATGGCTCATTTCGATATATTTAAATAGATCTTCAATACAATTTTCATGGACGTTATAGTGGATGATAATTTGTGTCAATAGTTACGCCTGATTCTTCTCATTTATTATAGAAAAAAATACAACTAAATTATCCTGCCGTGTTTCGGAGCTTATCGATGACGCAATCCGGAAGATACTGCAATCCACCCCCTACCAAGCTACATTAACTTTCTAATTTGACAGCTGATGCTGCGTTGTTGATTTCCGTTCCTGTCAGGGAAAGTCTTTGCTCCGCTCACGCTCTTGCTGCGTTTCAGAGGAATATATTTAGAAAACGAGGGGCCTTACTGTCTTTTTTAATTTCATTCAGTTCGTTCGAGAGGACGTCGATGAAAGTTTGCCAACAGC